AAAAAAAAAAAAAAAAAAAATATTAGTTGCATCGTAGATAGAGAATAATACACAGATGCACATTTGTCAAAGTGTAAAGAATACTGATCTGTGGAGGGCCCTCGTCCAAAAGTGACTCCTTTGTCACACATTGTAAAAGAGGTCCCTTACGTACATCTAAAGCCAAAAGTCAGGGGATCCTGAGGGAAAAGAGAAAGAATGTCAGAGGCAGAAATAGTCGATGTCTGCAGTGAGACAGTAGAATTGTTGAAACATTTTAGAATTCTGAAACATGTCCACAGGCTTCCAGGTTCCAGTCAACTGTCCTACATCCCCACACATAGTACCATTTTTGGGGGGATCAGAATGGCTCTGACCCCTCTAAGATTGCCCCCACCTCCCCTGTTCTGAGTGCGCTGAGGTCAGGCTGTTCTGCGGATGTTTTGCTGTTTGGTATATCTTGTGGTTTGGCAGCTGTGGCTTTCTGGGGCATGCTGACCTTTCCTTGACCCTGGGTGCTTGATAAACAATTCTGTTTGTTTCCTCCTGAAAGGGTATATAAGATGGGGAAGCAAGAATAAAGAGTCCTGATGCTTGCAACTTGACTGGTGTGTGTTGTGTTCATCCCGACTTTCCTCGCCAGGTTTTGGGCCCAATTGCTGTGCAGGCATGGCAAGTGGAGGTCTCACCAAGACCTGGAAAGCAGGGTTTGAAGGACGGGGTTGCTCCTGGGCTAGCAACGGAGTGAATTGGGGATACGAGTAATTAAGGCATGTTCCATGGGGAACACTACAAGTATATCTCAGATGGCCACTGAGATCACTAAGGTTTTAAAACAGCAAGGAACAGAAATTAAGCAAAGTACTGCAGCCGTATTTGTTACAATTGTTGCAGAAGTCAGTTCTTGGTTTTTAACAGGAGGGGGATTGAATATCCCTGATTGGAAACAAGTGAAACAGGACTTACAAAGGGCCCTTCATGAGAGGGGCCCAGATAACTTACCTATAGTTACATTTTCCTTATGGAGATTAGTTAAAGATGCCTTGCTAACAGAGAAAGTTAAAGTACAAGAACAATTAGCTGATGCTACTAGACTTTTGAATGAGGTTCAAGAGGAAGAAACTAAGAAATTTGTAAGCGCTGTTGATGAGAAATCAGACATGTTATGGGGCTTGGAGACCAAGTTGTCAGAATCAGAAGGAGAGGACTCGGAGGAGGAGAGATTGAAGCAAGAAATCAAAGAGTTAAAGAAAAAAATTAAAACAATGTAAAGTGAAACCAAATGACAGTTTAGGCAAAGAGGGTGCTGATGGCACTCAGCTATCTGCGCCACATCTACCTCCGGCCTATTATGAGGATTAGAAATGGACAAATGTAAAAGAGTATCGAGTAGTAGCCTTCCAAAGTTCAGGTGCCCATGCATTCCCGGTCATAGAGACAGATGAGAAATGCTGCTTCTGATGTATCAAGTGAAGCTGGAGACGGTGTATTGGAGCCTGGTAAAAAATCCCCCAGTGCTGATGCCTGTAGGGATATACAGCCCCCTCTCTCTTCTGTTTATGCTAGTGGTTGGACTATGGGCCGTCCGTCGGCCTGTATACCTATGGATAAAACTTTAATGATTCTATTCCATCTCATCCTGACTTTTGAGGAGTCTGTTAAAGTCAGTTATTCTGGGAAAAATTTTAGCATTTCCTCCTTTCTCTGTTTATTATACTGGGGTGGGAGGGGGTGCTTTATTAAAATTGTTCTGTTCAGAATTGCAGCCTTAGCAGTTGCTGGCTTGATGGAGACAATGTGTTAGTTATGAAGAATTCCTGTTGATGCCAATGGAGGCATCTTCCCAGTTTCCTGTCCAATTGCATAGAACAAAGAGAGGTTTTGGAATCACTGCCGCCATTGTTACTGCCATTGCTGTTTCTGCTGTTGCTGCCGCTACCGCAGGAACTGCCCTTTCTCAACAGACCCAGCAAGCTGATATGGTGAAAAGAGTCTCCAATGCTTTAGACATTCAAAATCAGATAAATGGACATGTACATTCTGGATTGCCAACACTTAATCAACAGATGGCGTTGGTATAAGAACAACTTGATTTGTTATGCACTCAACAACATTGACCTGCTCTCACATGTACATATCTATGTGTGTGACTCTGGGGAGGGTTGCCGATGCCTCTCATGAAGTTTGGAGGCTGAGTGGCTATGTTCAGGGTCCTTGGGTATGACATTTGTGGATTTTGCTGTGCAGCTTTTTCATGCCATACAGGCCATTGATGATGCCGGAATTGTTCCAATTTCGGATATTGGATGGTGGGGTTGGGCGGCCCAGGTTGGAGGCTGGTTTCAAAAATGGTCAGGATCGCTTGCTGTGGCAATCCTAGGACATCTTGGAATCAAACAAGAAAAATTCTGGTATCAGGCTTTCACTTCCAAATATGAAGAGACATTTTTCAACCAAAACTTTTTGCAGTTAACAATTTTTGTTCACACAAGCATCTCTGAACTTTTATTCTCAAGCCAAAGACCTTTTTAGGTACAGTAGTATTCTAAACCGCACTGTTTTTGATGTTAGCTCAGGTTTTTCTGTGTTGTGTCGATTTTCCACGGATCTCAGCTGTGGATTCCTTGTTGTGCTGGTTCTGGCGTCCGCCATTCTTAGCTTCTTAGAGGCTTCTGGAGCTTTTGAAACCATTCAGACTGCCTACTTTGCAGTCTACTGGGACACTAACCTTCTGTGTCTTGGGTTCTTTCACCATATGCATTAAGAATAGATTCACACTTAACATTTATACTTTTTGACAAACTCACATAACATGTGCTTAAGCATAAACTCACTCAACATTTACACATTTTTACAAACTCACATATAACATTAACCTCTACTTATTTATACTTTAAGGAAACTATAGAACTACTTTAGCAAATATATTTCTTATTAATTCTTATATACTTATATTCATTCCATCTTATTTCTTATTTAAACTTACATTTACAACTAGCATCTTACAAGCTTATTATTATATGTCTTAATACTACCTTAGATACTTTTTGCAAGCTTATATTCTTAAAGGGACTCTATAGATCTATTTTTACAAACTTATATAGGCTACCATTAGCATATATCTAACTTAGCAAACACCTAAAGATTTCTTAACACAGATCTAACAAGACAGAATTTTTACAGACTCACATATCTTATTTTCGTCTTTCTACTTCTTACTCTTAATTATTATCACCATCTCTATTAGAAAGATTCTCTTAACTAGACAGGAAGTACGTACATCATTTGTAAAGTTTAGAGTTTATAGTCAGCTTTGTTATAAAGCACTGGGATTTAGTGAGTGTTGTCATTATAGAGTTGTGACACTTGTTGCTAGGGGATTGTAACATTCTCGGGACAAAGCCACACCCCAAAGTTGCCCAGTTCTCTCAGCCTTTCTGGAACCGGCAGAGAGTTACTGTCAGTGGTAAATGGTTTTTAACTAGAGGCTGTCCCTTCACCCAAATTCATAGTAGTTCCCCTAAGTTCTTCAATTCAGACAAACATTTCTATTACAGCAGTATTTTTGATTCGTTCTACCGGGGGAAAAAAACTTCACTTCACTCTGAGGGTGAAATTACCGTATTTAGCTGCTGTAAGCTCTTCAAAAAAAAACTGCACAGCTATTAGGTGATATAAGGTATTTTTCTAAAGGAGCTAGTAAAGCCAAAAGCAGCACAGCTCCGAACTCT